ATATACATGATAATATATATACACATACGTGATAATATATTTACACAATATATGCCTTATAATCTATCAGAGAATCGTCCGAAATACGAGTCTCTCGAAAATTGGAGATACGGTATTATATCCTCCAAAGGAGTGCGTGTATTTACGTTTCGTAAAATAATAAAGATGTAGCAAAAAATAACTACATCAAACACGTACTTTTATAATGTAGCACGAAAAATGCTGATAAATTACCATTCGGTATATTATCGATATTTTTAGTTTCGTGCTACTCCGTGTAAATGGGCGCGCAGCACCGTCTTACATCGATTTTCCAATAAAATCTCCTAAATCTGTATTATCGACCTTAATTGAGTTCCGCCGTTGCTTTAGCATCCCCTTAACGTTACTTTTAAATAATTTATAATCTAACTATCTTTCTGATTTTTCGCTATATGATACAATTTAATATTTCACGGCTAATCGCTTACTCGACAGAGGCATTTAAATGCCTCAGCTGACTTCCTTCGCCTGTGCGTTTGTGTGCACAGTCAATATTGTTCTCGGCGTGCCTTACTTTCCAATGCTGCGCCTTTAAATTACTTGTGGCGATATTTGACGCCACACCACAATCGCTGTGCAGCGTAGCGCAGATTCCACGTCGAGCTGTGAATCGCTTATAGGCTGAGATGAAGGCTTCAGTCGTGTAATCTGTAACAATCTCTATGTGAACAGCGGAAGTAGAAAAGCAGACAAAGATGACTAAATATCCTTTGTAGGTTTTCGCCGCCCGCCCTCGCCAAGTCTTTATCGAAATGGGTCCTGCATAATCAACTCCAGAGTGTAAAAAGGGACGAGATGGAGTGACTTTTAGTTCTAGGAGTTGGTCCATCAACTGTTGAGCACGGCTCTGACGATACCGCAAGCACTTCACGCATCTTAGGATGAAGGATCGGACTGGGGCTCGTCCACCTATTATCCAGTATTTTTGACGGATATATGCCAACGTTACCTGAGTTCTGCCGTGCATTGTTCGGAGATGAGCGTCCGCGACTACTAGAGTGGTAAATCGAGATTGTCTTGGCAAAGTAAACGGGTGTTCGACATCGGCTTCCAAGTTTGCGTGTTGTAACCGTCCGCCGACTCTGAGGAGCCCAACCTTGTCGATAAATGGTGTAAGCTTGATCAAGGGATTCGACTTGGATAAGCGCTCTCCTCTTGTTAGGAGTTTGATCTCCTGCTGAAAGGAAGACTTTTGTATTTGTCGTATATAAAATTGACAACTCTCTTGAAGTTCGAGGGTAGTAAGAGATCCGTTATTCGATTCCTTCAGTGACTGACGAAACCATGTAACGACGTGTTTACAAATCGCGGTAATGCGTATGAGTTTAGTGAGCGAAGAATAACGTTCTATTAGGTCCCAAGGGGGCGTTTGACTAACTTGATGAGATATAAATGCACGTTTTGGATTTTTTTCTAAATCTATTTTAGCGGGAGTGATAGGATGTAAATGAGGCCAGTTGATCGGCTCTAGGCTTAACCACGATGGCCTATGCCACCATAAGGAGTGTAATTTAATCTCGTGCACTAAATCCTCTCGAGGCACAATCAGCTGGGTTTTCTTTCTCGGGAACGAAGCGCCAGAGGGCGGATGGTATTAGTTCTTGTATGGTAGTGACTCGGTTCCGAATTTAATCTTTCCATTTAGTTGGGTGTGATGAGATCCAGGTAAGGGCTATAGATGAGTCTGTCCAGAGAAAAATCGGTCTTTCCTTCATATCTAAGACGTTCTGTACATTGGATATAAGACGTGTTAACATCAACGCGGTGTTCAGCTCGAGTCGAGGTATTGTGAGCTTCTTTAAGGGTGCCACTTTTGTCTTGGCACAGACAATATTTACTTGAGTACCGAGATGCGTTTCAACACGGACGTAGACTACTGCCGCTATAGCGAGTTGTAAAGCGTCAGAAAACCCGTGTAATTCGACGGAACAGGCAGTTGGTGAGATGTGAAGCCACCGAGAAATGTTCAATTTGCTCAATGCTGGTAGTTGCCCTTTGAATTGTGTCCAGCGACCTTGTAATTCCGATGACAGAGGAGCGTCCCAGTCTACCTTGGCTAGCCAAAGATTCTGAATGAAAATCTTGGCTCTAATTACGAAGGGTGAAATAAAGCCTAGGGGGTCATATAGTTGAGCAATCTCCGATAGAACGGATCTTTTCGTGATACTTCGGGACGTAGGTGGTAGGGATGTGAATTTAAACATATCCGTGTGCGGTTGTCGGCATAGACCCAGTACCTTGACAAGTGAAGACTCTAACACAACAGCGGTTGCAACATCGTCTGGCAGCAACGACAAATGATCTAGCAGATCCTGACAATTGCTACTCCATTTCCGTAGCGGAAATCCACCTGATAGGCAAAGCTGGCAAACTTGAGTTATTATCTGTTTAGCTTCCTCTACTGAGTCTGTACCGCCGAATATGTCGTCAACATATCGCCCTTTAGTTATCGACGGTATAGCCTTCGGGAATCGATGGCCTTCATCAGCAATAAGCTGTTGCAGCACACTGAGAGCAAGAAAAGGAGCACAATTTAGTCCGTAAGTCACAGTTGTTAATTGAAATGGACGTACTTGTCCATTCGCGTCTTGCCAAAAAATGCGCTGTAGATCTCGATCGGTTGGATGAACCATTATCTGACGATACATCTTAGTAATGTCAGATGAAAAAATGTACCGATGTGAACGGAACCAGAGTAATACGTCAAAGATGTTCGTTTGCAATTTAGCGCCAGTATGCAAGATATCGTTTAATGTTACACCACTACCTGAGGGACTTGATCCGTTAAATATGACTCGAAGTTAAGTCGACTGACTATCTTCGCGTAATACCCCGTGATGAGGTAAATAAAAAACAGGAGAACCGTTAGCTTTAGATTCTAATACGGGGACCATATGACCCAACGATTGATACTCTTGTAAAAAGTCCGTATATAGTTTACAGTACGAAGGATCACACGCAAGCCGTTTCTGAAGTCGCGACAAGCATCGGAGAGCGGTAGACGAGGAATCCCCTAACGCAATCGCCGGAGACTTTAACGGAAGTCGAACTATGTAACGACCGGTTTGATCCCAAGAGAACGTAGAACGGAAGTGCTCTTCACAATCCGCATCATCAGGATTTAACGTTACCGGGCCGAACTGTAGGATATCCTCTTGTTTCCAAAAACATGTTAAAAGATCTTGATCAATTTGGCAACTATAAATCCTTCGCTTTAGATTATGATTATTAAGTTTTTACGGGATCTGAAACTGCCCAACCGAACAGAGTTAGCTGAGTAACTGGCGACGACGAGTCTCCTTTGATTATTTCCGGCTTAATGATCTGACCATACGCGTCCGCACCAATAATAATATGAATCGGTCCGGGTTTATTGAATTGTGGATCTGCGAGCTGTAAGTTACTGAGGTGAGCCCAAGAGTCACGTGTTACCTCAAACGACGGTATTTCGAAAGTTAACCGCGGAAGGATAAAAGCTTGTAATACAAAAGAATCGAAATCGTTAAATGTGGAATAAAGTTTCATGTAAACTACACCTCTAGTGCGTCCGGAATGAGTTCCGCCAATCCCTAGCAGCAGAATGATCGCGGTTTTTCGTCTTAATGAATGTGCCAATTCTTCTGTGACAAATGACAATTCGGAGCCCGGATCTAAGAAAACACGGATAGGTTGGAATTGACCGTCGCAGGCTCTTACCCTAACCTGATACGTCGCTAATAAGGTGAGTGGTCGATGAGTGACGACTTGTTCTATATGGCCAGTGAATGACGGTTCCAGTCATTTCTGCTCCGCGTTAGAAGGAATCGAGCACGGGGTGCTGACAGCTGGAGCATTCGAATTAACTTTTGTTTCTGATTTCGATTGTGATTTACGATTGTCGTGTAAGGTAGTATGATGCTTGCTACCACACTTTTTACAACAATGAGAGCTCGGAAAATTGGCGGCATGATTTCCTAGGCAATTGAAACATAAATTGAGTTTAGTAATGGTACGTTTGCGGCGTTCAACAGGCAACGACGAATAAGAAGGGCAATCGAATAAGTAATGAGCTGACTTGCACAGGCGGCATTCTACACCACCTTTAGTTATTGGAGCGGTCGCGACCATACTCCGGAATTTTGTTTCCGACTTATTCGAAGGCCAGGAAAATCGTCCCTTCTCCTTGGTGGGCTTGACTGACCTGGACGCCAAACTTTCCCACGCTAACGTGTGACCGAATACAAATTCCTCAAATTCCTTTAAGGTTGGATACGAAATCGACGGTCCTATTTTTAACTCCCATGCTTCGTGTGTATCCTCATCCAATAGACGAGCCAATTGGTGAATTAGCAGAGGGTTCCAGGAACTTGTGTGACAATTCAGTGCTTTTAGGGCTCCAAGCGATTCAGAAACTGTGGCGATCAATGCATTTAAGTCTTGAGCGGATTTCGATTTGATAGGCCTCAAGCTGAAGAGTTTGTCTAATTGTGCAGAAATAAGTACTCGCTTATTTTCATAGGGAGAAACCAAAGTTCTCCAAGCGATGCCAAAGGTGTTATCGGTGATCTTGAGATTCGTGACGAGCCGAGCAGCATCGCCCGTAAGACAAGTTTTTAAGTAGTGCATTTTTTCCACATTGCTAAGGTCGTGGTTCTCGCCCACCATAGACGTAAATAAATCATAAAAGAATCGCCAGGAATGATAATCGCCTGAAAAGGAAGGCAAGTTGATTTTGGGTAAATTATTTCGACGATTACCGAATCGTGCATCCGCTGTCTGAGAGTCGGATGAACGTGAGGAGGGATTAGAGGTTTCAATTAATTCCTGCTGTTCCATCAATACTTTTGCATGTACGTATAATTCTTGACACCTCTCGTATGTGCGGTGTTTCAAGTAAGATTTCTCCTCGATTCTTTCCATGCCTATTTGACATATCCTCTCATGTTCCATTTGGAATTTGTTCCAATTGGCTTCCAGAACCTCAAGACGAGTGCTCAGAAAACGCCGAGAAGTTGTCTGGGATATTTCTTCCGCGGCATCTTCGGCGGCATTCTGAACCATGAGAAATCGATTCATTTGCAAAGATATTTTTGTGCGTAATTGATCCATGCTTGACGTTGGCGGTTAAACCTTGGATCGAGATTTAACAGCTAAGGATTGGAGGCTGCGATCACTTTTTAAGAGAATGATGCCCTTTTTTTTATTTAATATCCTCGTGAAGCAAAGAAGAGAATTGCCCCGGAATAACAGCACGGGTAGCCTAGCAACGCGCTCACTGCGCTCCTCACTATTTTGGTCGCGGTTGTCATTCGAACCTTTTTCGAACACTTACCAATACAGTTTTTATAATAAAAGTATTTCAAATACATGCCCATCTCTGTCGTAGGGTATGTAAAAAAAAATAAAAGCACTTTTATATCATACAATCCGAATGGTGGCTATTGAGCATACATAGAACGTGATCGGTTGAGCCATTATTGAGATCCGATAATCTCGACCTGGCGAAACTTGTCGGTTCACGTAAAGGAGGCACGGCAGTGTCGCTACGCGTAGCTTAGCACCGAAACGCTACCAGAGCCTCCAGATTATATCCGCCAACGTGCCCATAGAAGCGTTATCTAAACAGCAATGGGAGGCGTACCGCAGCGCGACGCGTTGTCACATTTGTGAGAAGCCGTTCGCGCCGGACGATACGCGGTCCGCGATCATTGCCACTTAACCGGGAGATACCGCGGTCCAGCACATTCAAATTATATAACCTTAATTAAAAAATTCATTTTATATTTCAGTTCTATTTCACAACTGGTCGGGATACGACGCGCACTTTATACTTAAAGAAATAGCTACCGCGACGGATATGTAGATATACTACCGATAACCAAAGAAAAATATATTTCGTTCACTAAACATGTCGATAGCACTGAATACAAAAATAAAAATCATTTTCAAAAAATTGCATAAAATTAAGGTTCATTGATTCCTATAAATTTCTAAGTGCAAGCCTCGATAAATTGGCGTCGTATTTCGAAAAAGATAAATTAAAAATTGTACGTTCCGAATTTCCAACTTTGTCAAACGAAGAATTTGAATTAATGACTCGTAAAGGTATTTTTCCGTATGAGTACAATGACTGCGTTGAAAAATTGTGGAACACGCGCTTACCACCGCGGGAATTATTTTTCAGTTCATTGACGGGTGATACAGTAGCCGAGAGCGATTACGCTCACGCCGTGAACGTATGGCAGCGATTCTTCATTCGAACTCGGCGAGTACAGCGATCTGTACTTGAAAACCGACGTCTTGTTATTAGCCGACATTTTCGAAAATATCCGCAATAATTGTGTCGCGAGTTACGGTTTCGATCCCGCGCATTATTATACACTGCCAGGTTTCACGTGGGACGCCATGCTAAAACATAAGCGCGTAAGATTTGAGTTGCTCACCGACATTCATATGATCATGTTCATCGAGCGCGGCATACGAGGTGACCTCAGTTAATGATCCAGCAGATACGCGCCGGCTAACAAGTACATGCGTTCGTACGATCCATCGAAACCATCATCGTACCTAATGTACTACGATGTGAATAATCTGTATGGATGGGCGATGTGTCAACCATTGCCGTACGCCGAATTTCGATGGGTCGAAGACGCTGCAAATTTTGACGTAAGCGCGATTTCTCCGGATTCGCCTACCGATTATATTCTCGAGGTCCACCTCGAGTATCCGCAGCATCTGCACGACCGACACACTGATCTACCTTCCTGCCCAACGCGCGATAAGCCGCCCGGCAAGCGCGAAGATGAACTTCTCGCGACGTATGATAAGCAGCGTTACGTCACCTACTACCGCACTTGCAGCAATGTACTCATCACAGTCTTCGCGTAACAAAGATCCACCGGGTGCTACAATTTGCCGGTTTGCTCAATCTCCATGCCTCCGCGATTATATTGAACTTAATACAAAATTTAGAACGCGCGCGAAGAATGATTTCGAAAAAAATTTGTATAAACTAATGAACAACGCGGTATTCGGTAAGACAATGAAGAATGTGCGCAATAACGTCGACGTAAAGTTAATAACAAAATGGGATGGACGATACTGCGCGGAGACAATCATCGCGAAACCGAATTTCCAAAGCAGCAGCGTCTTTGCGGAAAATCTAATCGCCATCGACGCTATGCGCACACTCGAGGTGAAGTTCGACAAGCCGATTTACGTCGGTATGTGTATATTCGATATATCGAAAGTCTGCTTGTACGAATTTCATCACGAGTACATTACACCGCTGTATTACGACAAATGCAAAATTATGTACACCGACAGTCTCATTTACCATATAGAATGAGACGATGCTTACGAAACTATGAAACGCGATATTGCTAGATTCGACATGAGCGATTATCCGGCGGACAACGTGTACGGTATGCCTCTCGCGAATAAAAACGTACCCGGCCTGATGAAGGACGAGAACAAAGGTTTATTAGTGACAGAATTCGTTGGACTTAGAGCGAAAATGTATGCGCTGAGGGTGGACAGCTAGAAGGACATTAAAAAGGCAAAAGGTGTAAAGAGTAATGTCGTAGCGCGAACGCTAACGTTCGACGATTACACAATATGTTTAAACGAAGAGATCAAAATGACTCGCCGTCAATCGTCTACACGATCTAAATTACACGAGGTATACATGATATTCGAATCGAAGGCTGCTCTGAGTCCATACGACGACAAACGATACGTCGTACCGGACTCGATGGAAACGTTACCATGGGGGCATTGGCGGATATCTTCGTAATACATGAATTGTATGTTTTATATTATGTTTTTTTTAATTCTTTATATGTATTATTATTATTTTAATTTACACTTCTCTTAACATGTCACGAATACTATACGTATGTATGCACGTACGTATAAACATATGTTGTATATGTATTAACGTGTGTATTTACGTATGTATAAAGGTATGTATGAACGAATGGATGTTTGTAAGTATGTATAGATGTATGTATGTGAGATGACACCACAATATATGTAGGCAGTGTATATAGACAGTGTATAAAGCTTATTTGTTTTATTCAATCGTAAGCTTCTGTTAGGTGCGTTAAGAAATGGACCGAGTAAAAAAAGAAATATATATGGGGCATTCTTTGCCAAATCGATCAAGCCTCTGTCCAAAATTGATATGGACGGATTTCAACGTTTGACCCCGGAAAATGTTCGTCTTGAAAAGAGCTTTTAAATGAACCGTGGTCTTTTCGAAAATTCAAAATGGTGTCGCTGTATAACTTCGAAAGAGAAAAAAATAATTTAATTTTTAACTTATAACGCGCAAAAAATGTATGATAGCGTAGATTAAAAAATGCCTTTCATGATAAAAATTATTTGCTTTAAATTTGTGTAATATACAGTTTTTGTATTTTGTCATTTTTATTTTTTTTTCGTATTTTCAAAATTTTATGTTTTTTTTAACTTTTTTAAAATTTTTTGGCTGTTAATCTTGAATATGTATTCCATACTTCAAATCGTAAATTCTACACCTGTTGCAGCGTTTGAATATCTTTTGATTATCAAAGGCTTTGAATCTTTGATAGTGAATGAATGATTCTTTAGAATTTCAGGTACACGCGGCGCTTTACAAAATCTCTTATTTAAGTGTCTCATTGATTTATTGTGATCAAACTTACTGAAATAGAATATTTTAATATTTTCGAAATGAGTATTTGCCTTTGATAATTTTACCTTTCAATTAAGAAATTTATTATTCAGTTTTATGATAGTTGATTACAAATATAAGGAATA